TCATGCGCAGGGACGCCCGGTCCGCCCGGTCCACGCCCACCGCGTACAGCTCAATGCCCGCCGCCCGCGCCCGGGCCGCCACCTCGTTCACCCGGTCCTGGGGCCGCCCGTCCGTCACGATGATGGCCACCTTGGGGATGTGGGAGCCGGGCGCCCGGGCTCCCGCCTCCACCGTGAAGGCCTTCTCCATGGCCGTCTGGATGGCCAGGCCCGACATGGTGCCCGTGGACAGGGGCGCGATCTGGCCCACGGCCCGCTGCAGGGACGGCTTGTCCAGGTGGGTCTGCAGGTGGAACTCGATGTTCACGGTGCTGGCGTAGTTCACCACCGCCACCCGCGTGTCCGCCGGCCCGATGTCCAGGGTGTCGATGATCCGGGAGACGAAGGTTTTCACTTTGGTGAACTCCAGGGGCCGGACGCTGCGGGAACTGTCGATGATAAACACCAAGTCCAGCGGCCTGCTCTTGCAAAAGCCTGCGAGGAAGGTGTGGGGAGCAGCAGTGACTAAGCGGTGATCTGACCACAGTTCCTCACCCCAGGATGCCCTGAGCCTGGAGGTCAGACAAGGCAGTGTCCCCTACCTCCCAATGGCCCGCTGACTGCTATCACCCCCAAGGCCACCTCCCTTTGGATGCTGACAGCTCATAGGCCTTCCGAATCTCCCCCTGAGGAGAATTACATGAGGCTGCGAATTACATCATTTAATTTTCCTAATAGGGGCTGGAAGTTGATGCCACTCTAAGGCTATCTACCCCAATATCTCACCTGCAGGCTGGCTGAGCCCTTAAATTTCACTTAGAACCTCATCCCTTTGCTTCAGGTTTTGTACTCAAGGATCCTCTGGTCTCCCAGGGAGGAGTGGATTCCAGACCGTTCTGGGGCGCCTTGGCTCCCTGAGGCACTGGGGCAAAGTGTCCCTGAACAGCGTGCAAGGCCACTATCGGGGCGGCCGCATTGCACGCCACCCTGCCCACTTCCCTGGGGTGGACACTGCTCCAGAGCAGCCCTAAGTCTCTCTCTAGCCAGTGGTCAGCAAACTCATTAATCAACAGAGCCAAATATCAACAGTACGACGATTGGCATTTCTTTGGAGAGCCACATTTTTTAAACTTAAACTTCTTCTAACGCCACTTCAACATAGACTCGCCGAGGCCGTGGTATTTTGTGGAAGAGCCACACTCCAGGGGCCAAAGAGCCACATGTGGCTCTCAAGACGCAGTTTGCCGACCACTGCTCTAGCTGGTCATTAATTCATATTCAGTGAACTCAGGGGCCCAACTAGCCTGAGCTATGTTGAAAGTGGAGAGAGGAATGCCAACTTCGTCTGCTTTCCCCACATGGTTTCCTCACTCTGAGGCAACGTTTTCCATCACAGGAGTCAACACGATCTCCTGTACCTAGTAAACACCCGTTACTCTGGAAGCTTTTCTGCCACATGAGCCAACTACTGACTCAAAAGAGAGATGGCATTGCTCCCAAAGACCCCCTAGCCCCGGCTCCATCCTTTTTGAACCTCAGTTTGCACCAGGGAGGGAAGGAACGCACTGACGCCGGGCATCCCTCCCACTGCGCCCCTACCAGGTGTTCTTCCCCCCACCCCTCACCCCGACCCCTGGCCCCAGCCCCAACCCCAGCCCGGACAGTACCTGCAGCCCCGGCCCCGCCGGGCTGGCCGGCCCCCGGAGCGAGGCGGCGGCCGGGACTGCCCCCGGGGCCACGGGAGCCCCGCGCAGGGAAGCCCGGGCGGGCCGGGGCGGCGGGGCTCGGCAGCAGCAGCAGCAGCAGCAGCAGCAGCGGCGGCAGCAGGAGCAGGGCCGAGCGGAGGCGCCGCATGGTGTCCGCGGTGATGGGTGAGGCCTGGCAGGCGGGGTTCTCAGCAGCCAAGACCAGGAGCGCGGGTGGATTTAAGTGAATGGCCCGCGCCCGGACCACAGCCAGGAGCGTGGAACCCCCCGCGGAGCCAATGGCTGGGCGGCTGGGCCCGGGAGGCGGGGCCCGGTTTAAGCCAGCGGCCCGCCCCCGCCCAGCGGAGCCAATCACTGGGCGGCTGGGCCAGGGGGCGGTACCAGGGCCGCCCCGCCCCCTCCCTCCCCACACACCTGGTGGCTGGGCCTCCGCTGGGTGGGCTCGGCCCTGGCCGCCCTCTCTAAACCCTGGAGGGGCCAGTCCAGGGCCTCAGCCCGCTGGACCCTCCACTCCCGCAAGAAGCCACCTGGCCTAACCCCGGGCTCCGCCCTCCCTCCCGCAGCCCTGCCCCAATTCTCCAGCCTGCTCCCCACACCACATTCCTTTCCCTGGCCAAGGGACCCACCTTTTGCTGTGGGTTCTGGGTTTAAAAAAAAAAAAAAAAAAAAGCCTCAGATTCTAGCAGCATGAATAGCAACGCTTTCATCCTGCTTCAAACATCTGCGGACACTATTGACCTTCCAGGGGTGGGCCAGTGCTCCCCAGAATAGAATGGCACACACATTCCCCAGAGAGGCCCTGCTAGCCGGAGAAGCGGAGACCAGGCAGCCTGCGAGGCGCCCTCCCGCCCACACCCTAGCTCTGCTCCCGCAGGTGGCCGCCAGGTCTGGAATGTGTGGGTTCCTGACTTCAGGCAGGAGAGATTTTAAGGCAGCGGGTATTGTGAGAGTAGGTTTATTGAAGCTGGAGACGGTGAGACAAAGGAAGGGTTTAGGAATGAAGAGGCCACATCACAGCAGCAGGACTGAGCCTGGCTGGGGCTACCTAGACTGGGGATCCTGGGGAGGGGGTCACATTAGTTAAAAAGGCATTATCCATGACAGCACAGAGCTGAAGGCTGCCCACGGGAGTCCTCCAGGAACTCAGTTTCCGGGAGAGAAGTGATAGAAACAGGTGACTTTTGAGTGAGTCATAAAACATGGCAAAGAACATGAATTCCAATGGAGCCTTTCGGATCTTCCTGCTTCCAGACTTTGGCCCTTTAAAACCCATGCTCCACACAGTAACCTTAAAGTCACTTCTCTTCTTATACCCCAACCTTCACTTCCAGGACAAACTATCCCACCCACTTGACTGCAGGCTCCAGGAGGGCAGGGCCGATGCCCGCACTGTTCACTGCTGAATTCCCCTAAGCTCTACCCCACGGGCAGGTTCAGTCTCTGGTGGGCTGAGACCTCAGGGAATGGAAGATGACACCACAGAGCTCTTCCTGGGCAGGCCCGTGAGCAGGAATGAGTTTGTGGAAGAAAACACCTGGCATTGCTTTTTCCAAGTCTAAGGACGCCGAGGAAATGGCTTTGCTGTTTCACTCACTGCCTGGCAAGACAGCTCTGTGCTGGGCGGTGCCCCTTCCTCTGGCCTCCTCCGCCACCTGGCTCCTTCTCTGAAGTTCAGAGGGAGAAGCAACATAAAGTACGATGGTCTGTTTCAGCACATCTGCACGTAGGCATATGGAAAATTTAAAACTATTTGGTTAGACTAGGGCATAAATTATGGTTAGCTTTCTTTAGAAAGTCATGTTAATACTGCTATGTTGTTTTTACAGTTCTAAAAAGACTATTTATAGTCAGCTCTGGCAAGGTTATACTGTGGTAACTATTGTTCCCAAAATCTCTCAGGTTCTTATCACAATCAAGATATATTTCTTATTCTATTACATGTCCTTTGTAGGTTGGCTGCAACTTTACATGTTCATTCTGGCACCCAGACTTGAGGGGTGCTGGTCCCAATCTGGGGTACAATGAGAATGTGACAAAGGAAAGACAGGAAAGATGGCGGAACTTAATGCTTTTGCAAGGAAGTGGCTTCCATCAATTCCACACAAATCACACAGCCAAGCCATAAACTCAAAATGGATAAAAGACTTAAATGTACCGTAAGGCGCAAAACCATGAAAACCCTACAAGACATAGGCAGTAAAATCTCAGACATCTCTCATAATAATATTTTTGCCAAATACATCTCCTAGGGTAAGGGAAACAAAGGAAACAATAAACAAACGGGACTATATCAAACTAAAAAGCTTTTGTACAGCAAAGAAACCATCAACAAAATGAAAAGGGAACCCACTATATGGGAGAACATATTTGCCAGTGATACATCTGATGAGGGGTTAATTCCCAATATATAAAGAACTTAAATGACTCAACACCAGGAAAACAGACAAACCACTTTTAAAAATGGGCCAAGGGCCTCAATGGAATTCTCATAAAAGGACAGTGGTCGATAGACACGTGACACAATGCTCAAAATCACTAATCATCAGAGATGCAAATTAAAACTACAATGAGATATCACCTCACACCAGTCAGAATGGTTATCATCAATAAACCAGCAAACAAGTACTGGTTTGGTGATAGCCAGAGGGAAAAGGGAATGGGGGAGGGAGGTGTAGGTGAGAGTCGGCAAAGGGGGGGGAGTGGGGATGGAGAGTTTGCTTGGGATGTTGGGCCCTCATATGTTGGAGTGCAGATGGTTTTAGTGAGTTGTATACTTGCAACCTGTGTGGTTTTACAAACCAATGTCATTCCAACAAATTCAATTTAAAAACATGTAAAATATATCTGTCTATAAGCTAGATATAGCACGTCACCACAGCTCTTAGCAAGATGCAAAATGGCACATTTTCAGGAGAGAACTTCAGCTGCGGTGCCCATAAGCTGCAGTTTGCTTCTGCTTTGTGTCTGGCTCCCCTCTGGAGGTCCAATGCTGCATTTCAACATGAACTGCTCTTGATGAACTCATTACCCAACTAAATGATCTCAACATAAAAGCAGAGCTTGCCACACTACCCGCATAATTTTTCTATCAAACCATTTATGTTAATTTATTATCTAAATTAACATGATATATAGTCTCTATAATGTTAAATAATACTTCAGAGTCACTGGATTAAAGAAATGCTTTATAATAAAAAATCTAGCATTATAGTCTCAAAGGTATCAAAATCCATGGATGTCTGAGCATATTATAATGAAAAATATTAGGCTTTATCAAAAAAAGGGTAATAGACTTCTTAAAAATGGCAACAGTACATTTTAAGAAATTTATTAAAGCATCTTATCACAAAATGGAAACATACAAATTAGAAACATGCAACCGTCATTTCCACAGTCAACTTAAAACGTCATACATTTTGTCCTGTTTTCACAGCTGACAACTTCAGATCTTACACCTAACTCACTCACCATGAATATCTTATTCATTCCTCCTGAACGTGTCCAGGGCAGCAAATAACCAAAATGCAAACGATTATATAAAGGAAGTGCAAAGTTAAAAAGAAAGTGTGCAGAGAGCACCCCTCCCCACCCTCCAATTAAAGGCAAACAATGGCACTTTGCTCGTTTCACTAGATTGTCTTCAAAAACTACTAAAATGTAATAGACTTAACAAAACAAGAAACAACTGACTTCTAATAGATGCCCCAAAAGCTGGTTAGTGTTTGAAAATAAATGCTTACACAAGGAAAATGTAGTTTATATCAAACAAGTTGAAGAGCCCTGTATTGCAGCATTCTGTAAAATAAACACGCCAAGAAGCTGGTATAGGGTTTATTGACAAAGGCAGGATGTCTTCAGGCGGGTATGTAAGGAGGCGGTGGCTCTTTTTCAGGCATCTTCACTGCCATTTCATAGGTTGGCAAAACGTACTAGAGAGAGAGAAAAGTTGTATCAGACTCAATTCTCCTTTAAAATCCTACTTGGAATAATTCAGCTTTCAGATTTTATGTCCTAAAAGGGACACACAACCCCACAGAAAAGAGCTGAAGAAACTGTTAACTAAGCAGGTCCTGAAAGGAGAGATGACTAGTAACCTGGACCTTTACATGCAGATGAGACATCTGATCCCGAATGCTGGAAGGAGGAGGGAGGAGGGAGGGAAGGAGGGATGGAGGGATGGAAGGAATGGCAGACTAACCCTGGGGGGCTCCCAAACACCTGGACAGGAAGCACGTGCCCCTGCTCTTCCCACCCTTCCCATGTGCCTGATCAAGTACCAACTACACCTCCGGTAGCTGCGGGTCTAGATTAAGGGCCCCCGTGAAGGAAGCCTCCAATAAAATGCTGCATCCTGGAATTTCATCATCATCTACAGTCAAAGGATCGGGTGCTTATTTCTTCCGGGGTGAAGGACACATCTATTCATGCCCTAAACCACAATCATTGTATTGAAGAGAAAGTCAAGACCCAGGTTCTTGGGAATAATCAATAATGGCGAGTGAAGTTCCAATGTATTAGAATGTCATTCACCTGTGGAGGTGTTTCAAAGGCAGGGTACACAGCAATCTCCGGTGTGTTTCTGTTGTTGATGTATTTATAGCAGTTCCAAACACAGTTGATTAGATAAGCCTAAACGAATAAAAATAAAATTGACATATGCTAGAACTCAGCAGACTACCTGTTCTAAAACGAAGGGGACTTCTAGTGCTTTCCCCCACCGTTCTCCATGGAGCAGGAAACACACCCACAGGCCAGGCCCTGCATCCACTTGCTCTCACTTAATGCCACAAGTTTTACTATCACCATTTCACAGAAAAACCAGATTTGGGGTTTCAGGTCTGATAACGATTGTTCTGCATTAGAAATTCTGTTTCTGAACCTTGGGAATTTGAACAATTTTCAATCCAAACCATGAATCACTTCTAAAAACATGACAATCCTTAAACTTCCAACCATTATCGGGAAACAAGAGGGAGGACATTCCCTGAAAGCTCTCTCTACCGCTGTCTCAAGATGAATAGTCACTTACTGGGAACTGTAGGGAGGTAAGGCAACAGGAGGTTTAGATGGTCAGTGTCACAGTCTAACTGACCCCCAAATATTTAGTCAGCAACTCACCTTAAAAATGATGAATAAGACAAAGAATGCAAGAACAATGAACAGGAGGCAGCTGGAGTCCAATGCCAGGAGGTCATCTTTATAGGGAAAATCAGGCTATAAAATAAATAAATAAATAAATAAATAAATAAATAAATAAATAAAAAGGAGGGATAAAGAGCAGAGCAGAGGATTCCTAGGTAGTGAAACTATTCTGAACAATCTGTGATGAATACATGTCATTATACATGAGCCCAAACCTGTGTGGACCATACACCAAAAATGAACCCTAATGAAAACCGTGGATTTTAGGTGATAATGATTTGAGGTGTCAATGCAGGTTCACAAACATAACAAATGAATCACTGTGGTTTGGGATGTGGGTAGTAATAGGTTATGGGGCGGAAGTAGGAGCTATGTGGGAAATTCTCTGTACTTTCTGTTCAGTTTTGTGATGAACCTAAAACTGCTCTAAGAAATCAAGTCTATTAAACATACACACACTTATAATTCAGCCACAGCACCTGCACTCTGTGACAAACTAAAGAGCGTGGCACAAATACAAACAGAAGGCACCCAAGTCAGAACTGATATTCTAATAAAAACTTACAGACAGAACTTAACTCAAAGTACTTTATAGCCTCATCATTAATGCATGTGTTTGATCACTTAAAATACATTTGTTTGATATTCAGAAAAGTTCCAAGAGTCTAAGTTGAGCTCACTTTCTTTTCAAAATCACTATATCAAGAAGCGCTGCTATTTATCTAAAGTCCATGGGCCATTCGGTTCTACCTGGGGAACTAACTCATCTAAAAGCCAGTAGTCAGTCTCCCTGCTCATTAGGAGGGGCAAAGAGGGCATGCCCTGCTTGTCAGCCAGGCGGATTACATGATTTGCTGCAGGCATAACATGTTCTACTGAGGACAACTATATGTATTCAAATATTCAGGTAGCATTTACTGTGTGCGAGGCAGTGCGCTAGGTTCAAGGAGAGGGGCATTACAAAAGCATCGTTTAGGAGGTACAAGGTGGCCAACAGACCAAGTTCCTTCCAGGCCGAGAGACCAAGTGAACACAGCAGGAGGAATCAGAGAGGTCTGTAAAAGGAGCAGTAAACATTTCATTTTCATGGGTTTCCATATAGCTCATTTAATCGTTATAAACCAAGTTTTTCCATGGAAATGTCAACACAAATAATCTCCCATTTTCATAAAAAGTAGCACAAAGAAATCCCAAAGGACCCAAGAGAAAGAAAAAGCCACACAAGAACCCCAAACTAAGTGTGCCTTGGGACAAAACAATTCTTTAAGCTTTCTTCACCTGCAAATAAAAGGACAAACACATCATGGAGCCAGCTCATGGCAGAAATGCTGTGACTTTATGCAGAAGGCTTGCCATTTTCAGCCAGCGATGACATAAGCAGAGAGAACTGTGTTTAGACAGCTGCTGACCGGGCCAACAGGCCCTGTGCCTGGCCACCTCTCTCCAGCCACACATTCCTCCCTCCATTCCTCTGGTGGCCAGCCCCGTCCTCTTTCCATCCGCGGCCATCGCCACGCTCCTTCCTGCTTCACGGTGTCAGTTTTACCCGGAACATTTCATTTTGCACTTGCCCTATCTCAATTCCTACTTAGAATTAAGTCTCGCTTCCCAGCTCAGGTCTGATACCTGTGTGACATCCACTCACACAGCAGTTCCATTTTCCCTTCACCGCTTTTACCACAATTTTAATCCAGTAACTGTCAATTTTCCAATTCCTTCTCTAGAAAGTTCTACTGATATATCCCTAGGATCCAGCAGTGCCGTGCACATAAGAAGCAACCAACAAATGTTTTTTTAGAATGAATGATAAATTTGGTGGTACACAAAATGGATTAGGCAGAAAGTCTGAAAGTGGGGTGAAAATTCTTGAAAGGCAGAATTTTTTAAGTGAACTTTCATCTATCTGGGCCCCACTCCTCCTCCTAGACCTTACTTTGGTCCAGAGTGGTCCCTACCCTCTATCATACAGCACTTAAGCTCTGCATTTACCACAGTCCCATGACAGCTCTAGTTCATTATCACAGATAACATCTTCATGTCCTGACTCCTCAATGATTTGCTCCTTGAAGGGGAGTTATCTTTGTTATGTTTTTTTTGGATTTCATTTACCAACATTTCGCATAGAAGAGAATAAGCAAATAGCGGGCACTCAAATATTTGCTATAAAGGCCTGCAAAAATAAAAAGCTAATGAGTGCCAAGTAGAGTCAAATTATTATACTTTTAGTTTATTCAAAACAAAAGTTGAACTACTCCCTCAAATTCCATAATAACCATTTTTAGGGACTTCTAATACTGACTATCCAAATGATATAAGAAGATAATTCTATTTTCATCTTACTGGTTTTCAACATGGTAGTTAAGAGTAGTGATATTATTTTAGGACACCCTAAAAAAAAATGAATAGGGTCAGTTAAAATAAAAATAGTGCCTAAAAAACTAAGAATTTAAATTTAAATATTTTAGTTAAAAGGGAAAAAATACATTTAATGAGCATACACACTTACTAATTGATCCAGATATTCTTTGATTCTTGGCAAGTAAGTGAGAGAACTGATAGCAACCAGGCAACTGAGGACGAAGTCAAAAAGCCGGTAACAGAAGAATGGAATAAGCCAACCCACTTGATACTGAAGGAAAAAAATAACATCCACAACATCACATACATGGAAGTACTAAGTACAGCTCAGTAAAAAGCAAAGTCCAAAGGTTGAAAACATAGGATACTTACAGAAATTGCTCCATATACCAGCATTGAACTGATTATAAACATAAGAACAGAGACGGCAAAAAGAACACAGGCATTATCTAAGAAAACAAAAACCAAAATCTAATTAAGCGACTTACACAAAAAGAACAAAACTCTTCATAACAAAATAACACTTCAAAGTTAGCTTACAAACATCAAAGTATTTTCAAGATTGGCTATGAAAAAAATCTAGGAGAGTAAAAAAATTCAAGAAGGTTAAAAAAAAAATCTGCCTCAGCTTTAAGTAATAAAGCTTAAGCAATTAGTCCCTTTGTTTTCTTGTTTGTTAAACTGCTACAAATCACTGAGACTTATTAAGGACTAGAGACGCGGTGCACTAATTCATGCACCAGTGGGGTCCTCTGGCCTGGCCTGTGCCCAAACCGGCTCTCCGACATCTCCTGAGGGGGCCCAGACGGTGTGAGGGCCCAGGCCAGGTCCAGGGACCCCGCCAGTGCACGATCGGGACCAGGGAGGGACACAAGAGATTGGCCAGTCAGGGAGGAACCATGGGAGAGCTCCAGAGCATGTCCAGCCCGTCTCGCTCAGTCCCAATTGGCCAAACCCCAGCAGCAAGCTAACGTACCGGTTGGAGCATCTGCCCTCTGGTAGTCAGTGCACATCATAGTGACTGGTCGACCAGCTGACTGCCCCCAGTGCATGCCATAGCGAGCGGTTAAGTGGCCTTGGCATATCATTAGCATATTATGCTTTGTTTGGTTGAACAGGCAACCACTTTGCATATTAGGCTTTTATTATATAGGATGGTACCCTGCTAGGGAGTCAGATCTCTGGTCAAAGTCTAAAAGCTAAGATGTGCAAGCAGAGAATTATAATCCAAAGTGGCAAGTGCTACAATAAGAAACAGAAACAGTCAGCTTTGCCTGGGGAATCAGGGAAAAAAATATAAAACAAATAACGTAAGTTGGGATTTGTGATCTGAGCAGGGTTTAACTGAAGGGAAAGGCTGGTATTTCCTTAAAACACGTGTGTATTACACACAGAATGTTACAGATGCCCTCTTGTGCCTTCGATAAAATACATGATCTGAAATTAAAGGTCATCCTTAACTACTGTCCTCTTCCCCACCCCAACACCAAGCTCACTGCTCCGCATCCTTCAGCTGGGCATCTCTGCTATAGTCAGGTCTGTTTTCTTTGTTTCTCAACTTCTTCATATTGTTCCAAAGAAACACAGATACCACATGACCAAGAATTATGTATTTTTCTATACTCTCAACAGCAAGGGCTTTTGTAGAATTATAAGTAACAAAAACTGATAATGAATACATCTGATTTTCTGGAGAGTTAAAAAACTCATGCAACATACAATAAACTTGTAACTTCACACCTGGAGCTCTGGCCAAGGCTGGGAGCTGTTTGTACAGACATACAAGAATCTCAGTAACCCTAAATCTTTTTCTACACCTCAATTTTAAAAGAAACACACATGATCAGGGAAGAGGCTGATGTGAGGAGGTTCAGTAACAATTTATAACCTAAAGTAAAATTTCATAAATACCATAAATGGTCCTTAGGAGCTAGTTTATTTAGCGTTGTATCTTGGTTTTTAAATAAAAACAGACAACTAAAAAACAAAACAAAAAAAAAACAAATGCCAGAAGGAATGTTTCTAGTATGTTCTGGGTATTTTTTCCTATAACATTTGACAAAAAAATTAAAGGATTATACTATACTTTGAAAAGACAGTATATACTATACTTTGAAAAGACAGTAAAAAAAAAAAAAAAAAAAAAAAACCTTAGATACAAAGTGTGAAAGTTGTTAGAGCTTTCATAAACGTATGATGGATGTCTACTACCTGGCTCCTGGAAACAGAGGTTAGCCCTGAGGACAATTAATCATTTGAATTAACAACCAAATTTAAAAAAAAAAAAAAAAAAACAACTTCATGAATGGATTAGAGCTGGTCATAAATGTAACGAAGCACACAACTTTATAATAAAAGCTAATAATTTTTAAAATGATCATTCAGATCCTGTAATATAACATATAATACAGTGAACTGGGAACATTCTTCTGAAGTGAAATTTTTTTAAAATCAACATAAATTATTTGCACTGAGAAGTCTGAGGCATAGTTTCCTGCTTAAATACTAAATTTCTAACATAATTTATAATAATGTAAAAACTACAACTTTTCTGCACCTGAACTGTAGAGAAGATAAATGAAAATACCACTATCAGGAAACGCATAGTTTTAAAAAGGTAATCTATGAATGTCCTAAGGTTCCTCTATTTTTAACTCTAATGGCAGGTCTTTTTCATCCAAACAGAAATATATTTAGAATAGTGACTCTAAACAAAAGACATCACCAAATATTCAAATAATTTGTATTTCATATTTCCTGTAAGTCTTTTTGTTCCATAAGCAAATCTCCCATCCTCTGCTGCACTTGTCAGCTGACCCTCAAAGGTTCACAGTTTTTCAGTAATTCCTTCTTTCCCTCTGATTTCCACAACACCAAAACAGGAGTCAAAGTATAAAATACCATTTCTAGCCATTACATTATCTGGCTAGACATGCTCAATTATACTAGTAATCCTCACTGAGTATCTTTGAAAAACCCAGAAAACACTTTTCTGCCTCAGCAAGTTTAATAACTTAAACAGAATTTAATTCATTCTCTTTGAAATAACGTGTGTGTGTGTGTGTGTGTGTGTAATTAGCAAGAGATATTTTCACCTAAAAACATACCTGTCATTCTCTCAGATGAGTAGTAGTTGCCAATGACTTCATACTGAATGTTGACAGATGGCATTGAGTTTGGATGAGTTACCTCCACAGTCAGCAAAATTGCCATCAACAGGTTAACCACCTATGGAAGATAATTTTATCAATTATATTAGAGGCCTGGAGCATGAAATTCTGGCACTGGGGGGAGGGGGGTATCCCTCAGTCCTGCCTGCGCCCTCTTGCAATCTGGGACCCTCAAGGGATGTAACAGTGCAGCAGGCAGCCAGGGAGGAGCCAGAACCGGGGCCGCTTAAGCTCATCCCAGCCCGAGGCACCTGCTGCCCCAGCTCAGTAGTGCTGCCTCAGAGTTGGGAGAGGCTCCCGCTGTCCCCAGTCATGAACCCAGCTTCTGGCTGAGCGGCACTCCCCTGTGGGAGCACACTGACCACCAGAGGGCAGCTCCTGCATTGAGTGCCTGCCCCCTAGTGGTCAGTATGCATCATAGCAACTGGTCAATGGTTGTTCTATCATAACGGTCGCTTAGGCTTTTATATATGTAGATTATTAGTCAGGCAGCAGTTTGCAGCACAATCTTTAAGTGTCTTCCCATATTTAAAATTGTTTTATTTGAAGTAGGAAAGACATGTACTTGGAGACTACCTGTGAGATAAAATATGCAATACCACTCTAAGAATATTTTTAAATAAATATATGATAAAGTTAAAGTATAAATTTATCTGTTTCTAAGAAAAGATGACTGATTTGATTCAATACAACAGTAGTCTATACAACAGGGCAACAATTAAACATAATGGACCATTACAAATCGTTCGGGTCATAGCTTCAGAGGTCTGGTATTGAAGAAGCTAGCTCATCCAATATACTTATCCATCAGACAATGTAACAGCCATCAGAAAAGCTTGAAACCCTTCCACAATATATCCTCTCCAGTGATAGAGAACTATTTCCTCGGACTAAATGCTTTAAAGATTTTGACTGTCACTTCACATACTAGTCTTAATTCTACCCTCCGAGATAATCTGCCCCCCCTCCTGAGTAAGTGCTCCTCTAACATCTACGGATGGCTGACATGTGCCTCCAAGCAAGTCTTTTCCAGAGCTAACCCTCAGGTTCTTAAACTGCTTCTCTCTCGAGCATCCTACCAGCTACGTCAGAACTCCCCTTTGCTCTCCTCTACACACGTGCCCGTTTGCTGCACACCCTGAAGTGAGCTAAGATGGGCCTGGAGCGAGCACAGGGCGTCCCAGCTAACAAATTGCAGTTAAGGCGGCCTGAAATCGCACTGGCCTCTAAATGTTTTGAATGGCCAAAACCGGTTTGGCTCAGTGGATAGAGCATCTGCCTGTGGACTGAAGAGTCCCGGGTTTGATTCCGGTCAAGGGCATGTACCTTGGTTGCGGGCACATCCCCAGTAGGGGGTGTGCAAGAGGCAGCTGATCGATGTTTCTCTCTCATCGATGTTACTAGCTCTCTATCCCTCTCTCTTCCTCTCTGTAAAAACTCAATAAAATATATATTTAAATGTTTTGAATGTTATATGAGATTAACTCCCTAAAAACCCTAATTCTTTCCCACATTTGACCCCACTAGGCTGCCATCTGAACCTGTACAATTGGTTCAGAGGCTCAAGCATAAGCCCTCACACATTTCCAATTGAATTTTATCTTATCACGCTCTTGCCTGGAAAAACGTTTCTCAATCTAGATTCTAATACCATACGGATTTCCTCTCTTTGCTTCCTGCTTTGAAAATATAATCAGCATGTAATCAGTATTTCCATTGGTGAAGCCAGCTGCCAGAGGCTGTCCTCTTCCATTAATAATGTTTCAGTGAAATTCTTTATCTGATCCAGAGAAACATCTTGAGACCTTGTCGAACATCTTGCTGAAATCCCTTCGTAATTATCTAGTAAATTTTCCAGTGGCATGGGAGGGTTGTAACTCCATTTAAAAAGGAAATATTCATGCCTCTAGTGCTGAGTCCCTGCAGTATCCCAGGAGGCACCGCGCCATTTAAATGCTCGAACTGGTACCAATGATTTCATAGGGAAAAATCGCACCTACAATCGGAGTCAGGCTTTCCCATCTGAGTTCACAGAATCCGTCCTCTCCCCTTGTGAAATTGGATACCTTCAAGGAATGTTTATTTTTGCTGTTGATAACTCCCTCCGAGGCCTGTTGATTTGTGGACATAGTGGAAGGGAGGGTGAGGGACAGGCAGATGTTGGGGAGCACACAGACTGGGTTGGACAGTTTGCAGGGAGGACATCTGAGAAGAGGGAAGTGTGCGGAAGGCATCCCAACTTAGGGGCGTGTGGAAGGCTGCGCTCTGGTTATTCCTGACCTTTCCAAACCTTTCGAGAACAGGCCACCGGGTGTTTACTGGAATCCGTAATCTGTCTTTTATATAGTCCAAAGTTTTACATAAGTCTCCTCTTCCCCAACTGACGCCCTGCCCCCAGCCATTCCCACCCTGGGCAAGCCCCCACCGCTCTAGTGTCTGTGTCCACCCTGGATGAGAAGTAAGTTTTATCAGCACTTAAATTTTCTTAGAGGTGTTTATCACTCTTTACACACTCTCTAAGACCAAGTCTTTATCTTTAAGATAAGGCTAGGAGATATAAACAGTGTCACAATAACAAATACACAACCCACTAGTATTTCTTAAGATATACACTATACCAAGTATTCTGGTGTATATCACTTCACTTTACTTAAGTGAAGTAAGTATTACTAAAGCCCACCTGCAAATGAGGAAATAGGTTCAAAAAAGCAAAATAATTTGTGTAAGATCACTGAGCTGACAAGAGGATGGAGCTAGAACACAAATCTGCTCTTTCTAAGCCAGCCTGCTTCTTTGCACTACAGGTCTTTCCAAAACAAATGATTACCTAAGGCTATAAAACATTTATACTCTACTCTCCAAATAAATGTTCAGTGACATGCCTTTTTCCTTGCACTGCTCAAAGGCAAGGTGCTTTATCCTTCAACTCCGGAGAGGCCTTACAAGGGAAAATCCCATTTGCAAGATGGCTCCGAGCTGAAGGCTGACTTTTCCACAGTGCATTCTCATTGCAATGGGTGTTCCCAGTGCATATGGTATAAACATATGAGTTAATGTGATTAGATGCATTAACTGTGGGATAATCAAATACATCTACCAACGTTATATATTCTGTTTTAAAAAGCTTAGAATCGATTCAGCCAACTCTTTGCTAAACACAACATACTCACAGCTAAAAAACTCTGCACAGAAAATGTAAAGAAAAATATGCAAACTCAATTATTAATGAAGGACATGACACATCCAAAATATTTAGAAGTTTAATTTTTTTCCTTTTTAATTTTTTTTTTTAATCCCATATAGAATTAAGATGTCTTTTCTTACCCTGGCTGGCATGGCTCTCACACAAAAGGAGATTTCCTTTTGGTTCGATTTCCACTCAAGGGCATGTACCTGAATTACAGGCTCCATTCCCCATCCTGGTTTAAGTGAGTTCAGGAGGCAACCAATGGATGAGTCTCTCTCACATCAATGATATTTTCTCCCTCTCTCTCTCTCTCTCTCTCTCTCTCTCTCTCTCTCTCTCCCTACACCCCCCCCCCCAATCCCTCGTTTCTCCTCCCTTCCACTTTCTCTGAAAATCAATGGAAAAAATATGCTCAGGTGAGGATTAACGAGAAAAAAAGTATTTTCTTCTCTTCCGTGGATAAGTCACAATCATCCACTATTATCTTCTTCTAGTACTGACACCTCACATTTCATTTCAGTGAGTCATACCCCTGAGTAATAAAACAAATCATGAGTCCAATCAAAAGAACCAAGAAATGGTAAAATAACTTTCAGTGCTACTTCATTAAAAACACACATTACATCACCAAATTTCATTAGAACCCCAAGTCACATTTTAAACTACCAGCCTGGAAACCCATCCTTGTGGCCTTAAAAGATTCACCAATAAACACCCAGCCTGTGCTTAAATACAGGCAATTCACTTGATTTCAGTTGATTATTTCTAAGTTTTATGTAGCCTTTTTCAAAAAATACATAAAACTAATTTTATAGTCTTGTGATAGAAAATTTCTCTGAAAATTGCAAATATGTACAATTCCATGATATTTATTCCCAATTCATTTTCCTTTTATTATGCTTAACAAAGAAAATTAACAAAAATGTAATTAAAATAATTCCTTTCTAAATCTAGTGTTATGGAGAGGTATAGAATGCAGCAGCTAACCACATACGTTAACATCATGGGCAATGGACAAACCACTCACTGTGGAAATGGCACAAAAAACTTAGTGGGTCAAAAAATATTACCTTATTTTCAGAGAGAAAGAGAAAAATATATATAGAGAGAAGAGAAATGCCCCCCAATGGGGACTGGGCCCAAAACCTAGGCATGCGCCCTGACCTGGAATCAAAATCAAGACACAGGATGATGCCCAACCAACTGAGCCACGCTGGCCCACGCAGTTTGCGTTATATTTGAAAGCTTTCTTCACACCTTGTATAAATAAACAAGAACAACAAAAACCAGAAATACTAGATTTCACTTGTTACAAAGAAACAGGACCAGGCCATGGAAACAGCCCTTTGCTTTCTCAGTTCATTGCTCGCTCAGCCCAGAAGATTCTTTTGTGGCCCGGTTTTTGCTTTTTAATTACTATTCTTGACTTTTCCCACAGCATATTTTCCACAACCCAATATCTGTGGAGACTATAATTAAAACAATGTGTTTGCTTCAAGGCATCCCAACAGGGTCTCCTAAGCCAAGGAGGGGGGAATCCCCAGGGAGCTAAATCAGCAAAGAGCTGTCATCAGATAAAGATGAAAATTAACTATCTCTAACATTGAATTCGAGGAGGGATTAAGCAAAATCCAACTAACCAACCAACAAAGCTCACAGAGAACAGCACGGTGATTCCCAGAGGGAAAGGGGGTGGAGGGAAGTCGGAGAGGGCAAAAGGGGGGCAAGTAGTAACAGAAGGAAACTTGGGGTGGTGAACACACAATACAAGGTACAGATGACGCGTTACAGAATTGTACACCTAAAACCTTTATAATTGTACTAATCAATAAATTCAATGAAAATAAAATCGAAAATTTAAAAAAACAGAG